AAAAAATGAGGAATTTCAAATAGTTAATTTGATACTAATATCGATATATTTTTGTCAAATTTTTATGATATCTTCAAACATATATTTTATTTCAAAATAAAAACATCATCGTTTTCTCAAAATCACATAAACCCATATTATAACATCGAATGAGATAAAGAATAAAATGAAATATTAAAATCACAATGTATATCGCTGCATTGTGCGAATACGCTTCTAGTATATATATATATATATATATATATTGACAGAAACTCAACAATCATATTAAATCCAAGAAATAAAAGGATATCGGGTTCATCGAGTTGGGTTGAGTTCAAATAATAATAACCCCATTTCAACCCAGTACTTACAATTTGAAAATTTTACAAGTCGATTAGACATCGGGTTGATTCGAGTTGAGTTATTTCGTGTTGGGTTGGGTTGATCGGGTTTTTGAACACCCCTAATCGTACTTGTGTGTTTTATCTATCTGTTTTGTAAGTCAGGGGTCTTCACGTAGACATACCGTTATGTGAAATATATTGTGTCTGTTGATATGGTTTAACGCTTGTACTCGTGAAGATGTTGGTTTCATGGTTAATAACTTTCCTTGTTGCTTGCGGGAAATCAACTTCAAGAATTTTTTTTGATTAACCTGGATATCCAATCTGTTATGCGAGCCGATTAATTCCAAGGCGACCACCTGCAAAAGGAGTTGCCGCATTTGAACCTCAGTGGCCACAAAGGGATTTTTATTCCTCCTTGGATTTAAACATGGAACCTCCAGGCACTTTTGATATTTGGAGCTCAAACTCAAACCAATTAGGCACCATCCTTATGGTTAATTTCAAGAATTTTGTTGATAACTTTAAACGATGAAACATCTAAATTCAAAGCTATGTTTTCATACTTGCGATTAGATTTTTTGTTAGTCGATACTTAATCCATAAACTCATAACGAACCCCTTTTGATAAAAAAAAATATGAACCAAGTTCGGAATTTGTTAATTTGTTCCTAAACGTTGAAACTCGTAGAACACAAAGACGATGTGTATAATCACATGTGATTAGTAAACCTTTCTATTTGACCATGTACATGAACACGACTATAAGTAATATATTCGCTTTTGTAATATATATTTACACAAATACGTAATACAATACGATTATAATGACACCATTCGAACTTCAAAAACGATGAATATTGCAACATTTTATTCTAGATATCTCGATACCAAAAAGGCGACGAATTTTGAAAAATAGACGAGAAATATAAGATACAAAGACTCCATTCGTATGTGTTTTTTACATTCATTCTCGTCTTCCATTTTATGGGTCGCGTCTAAATTAACCTCATCTCGAGTAATATGACGGAGACTTGGATCTTCATTTCACGTTGTATCATCAAAAACAAAATGAATACGTTAAACGTAAAATTGCTGAAACTAAAATAATATTTTCCATGTAGAAGTTCTCTCAACTTTGGAGCACCATGAAAGCGACACCATCTAGTCTGGTCTTCCCATGATAGTTGTGAGACCGGTACAGTGGAAACACTCCAGATGATGACATCATACCCTTTTGCAGAACATGATAGCGACACACCATGACGTGACCTAAAATTACGAAAACAAAATCAAAATGTGCGAGATGCTACTTTGATTGATGAATTGGACTTAATTGATATGATTGTAAGCGACACCGGAGTTGTTTGGCTGGTTTTCCCCGGGATGAATACTGTATGAATTTAGAAAGTTTTTGTTTGTGAAGCTCTTTCATAGATGGGAGGAGCATGTTTTTTAATGGAAGGGGTAAGTTTTGGAAAACCTTGGCTTTCTACATAAAGCTCGCCCTAGAAGCGTACCAAATAAGTCACTTTCTATATCATTAAGCCACTATCAAACAGTCATGTATTGCTGACCGGATAAGTTGTGTATCCCATTAAGCTGTTAACAAACCTAAGATACATGAATAACCATTAACGTTTCGTGATTGCTCTATTTTGCCAAGCGGGCTAAGATGGTTAGGAGGGACGACGTCGTAATAGTAGTTCTCAATACTTTGTTTAAAGCGGTTTATCTAGGGCTTTTTCCCATAAAGAATTCAAAATATAAAAAAACAAACCCAGTATATTCCACCGGTCTAATTCAGTCATGTCCTAGTCTAATTATCGCACTCTCTCGTATCCCGTACTGTCCTGTCCACCAAACGCACCCTGAGGACCAATGGTTTTCATAAACTGAAATACATCCTTCAAAGTAATAAAGGTACCTGGTAAGCATCTACATCGTATCCCGAGACCTTCAACCGGTGTTTACAAGTTTTGCCCGTCGAGTCTTTTGATCCACTTCCATTCGTAGACCAAGTCCCGATAACTCCGGCAAGTCCACCGATCCTTGGATTTCCAATTCACCAACTAGCCGTTGATTTTCCCCGTTCCCTTCCAATAAATTCCGCACACCCCATATACCCCACTCACGTAAGAACGGATTTTCATCATCCGTCACACATTGCTGCAACATCAAAAGAATCCCGTTTTTCGCTCGTATCTCATCTTGAACATGCTTCCTCCGATACGCACAATTCCCAATAACCGCAACAATATCACTACGGAATCCTTTATAAGGGCATACCTTACCTACAGAGACGGATCCAGATTTTTTTTCAAAGATCAGCAAAAATAAGTACAGTAATATAAAATAAACTTAATTATAGTTGCCAAATACATTACAAATGCTAAGAAAACCATTCAAATTTCAACGATTTCCGATGTGGGTTTTTGTGTTCCACCATCGTAAACCGTTAAAACCCAAATTCAAGATTCGATATGCTACTGTAGCCTCTCCATTTTCCGGCAACGATGCCAGGTGGTAGAACAAAACGAATCATAATGGTAGCACCGTTAAGGATCTGAAATATTTACACTACGATTAGACATATTCTTACCTGATGACGACGTCGAATCTTGGTTCTCACCATGTTGGACCGTTCTCCTAATTATTGCGGGTGGCTCAAGATCACGAAGCAAATCTAAAAGCGTTTCAATAAGCCCAAGAGACAATAGCAACTCAACAATATCCACATAACCTTCTTTGAAGTTATCATGACCATCAAACGCACAAATATCTCGCAAAATACAGAGAGAATATCCGAGAGCATCAATGTCGATAGAGCCGGTTGGAAGAGTCGACTTTGGCCGTGAAACGCGATCAAGGATCCTCAATGCGGTTTTTAGTATCTGAAAAACATCAAAAGCAAAGGCCTTGGAGACCGTAATATGCTCTATTTGCTCGTTTATGATCTCGGATAAGATGCTCAATAAAAACAATTGATCTTGTGTGAACATATGCAATTGGGGCAAACCGCCATCGGAAATTTCGGCAAAAGCGTATTGCAACTTTGAGAAGAGGGGCGTAAAGTAAGATTCTTCGACGCAAGTTCTTGAAAGAACCAGTTTCAGCCAATCTTCTCCAAACCCAGCTGGTTCATAGAAAGAAAGAAAAAAAATCATCAAAAACTCCTTTTTCGCAAAACTGTAGGTGTCTGGACCAACTTACGTACACCTCGACTAATCTCATGGACCCTGAAGACAACAAACAGAAAAATCCCGAGTGGCCATGAGGAGACTCGAGCTGACGACCTATGGTAAGGAGCCCAAGGCCTGGCTACTTTAAAATCTTCCTTGCCAGTTACAGATAGCTTTTTTGGGATAAAAGAAAGTAGGTACCAAATTTCTAAAAGTTCGATGGTTTATTTATTCAAAAAAAGGTTCACAAACTTGGGGCCTATATGTTAGTAGCTTAATGAGCTTAATGAGACTCACAACTTATTCAGTCAGCAATACATAACTGTTTGGGAGTGGCTTAATGATATAGAAAGTGGCTTACTCAATAAGCTTCTAGGGGGAGCTTTATGAAGAAAGCCAAGTTTTTTTTTTCCAAACCTCTTATTCCCAATTAAAAAACTCGCTCCTTTCATCTATGAAATAACCCTCCCAAACAAAAACATTCCCGATCTATACAGCCAGATTAACCCACACAGATAGTTTTATCAATACATGACTTAAATCTTAATCATTCAAAATGGGAAAGTTCTATGGGTTTTTCTTGACTTTTCCCTTTAATTAATTAAAAAGTGTAATAATTACAAATTTCTAAAACTATATGCCTTTCGCATTGTCGACATTTATTTTGGGACGGAGAAAGAACAAAGCAACAAGAAACTTACCTACTGAAGCAGTACGTACGATTTCCACAAGAAGAGGCAAAGCATTATCCGAACATAACTTGTCGATTAGTCCATTGTTCCCATCGACACAAGTATAAATGATCATGCACAAAGGGTCACAAGTATCTTTTCTTCGTAGTTTTGCAATCTCAACGAACTTCAAAGAATACATACGATCCCAAATGACAACTTGATGTTCCTTCCCAGCCAATGATACATTTGCAAGAACTTGCAACCCCATTCGAATAATCCCATAATTCGAATCATTCAAGATTTCTTCAGAACAGATTATATTCGAAACAATATCAACGCCATTTTGTTCAATAAACGAGTCCTGATTTCGCAGTTCTCCAGCACATAAGTTCCTAACAAGCTTAAGAGCCAATAAAAGAATGCCACCACAAGACGGATATGATAGCGATTGGCAGAGCTGAAGCGTTGTGGTAACCATATTCTTGGAAGCAAGATCAGAACGACCATCGTTGGTTCTAGCCGATTCTATTAGATTCTCTAAAGATTTATCTAAAGTTGATGAATTTGAAACAATGATGAAAGGCTGAAGAACGCTTTCCGGTATAGAGACCCCTGATGAAGTTGTTGCATCCATTACAACATCCGATAGAAGTGGCAAAACCGAACAGTAAATGAAAACGGTGGAAACGTCGAAAGCTTCAAAACAATCACTCGCTTATTTTGCCTGCAAAAATGAATGCAAAATAGCTGATCAAATAGGAAAGTAAATGCATCAAAATGCAACAAAGTTTCAAAATTTTCCTATTTTGTACCATTTGGACCGGTAACCTACTGATCGTGTAACATTTAACGACGTAGCTACAAGTTCATGAAAGGTTTATGAAATGTTTGCAGAAGGTTGAAGGCAAAGTGGACGGTAAACATTTTGTTACCGATCAAACTGGGTAAAAAAAAAGAAAATTTGAAACTTTATTACATTGATTGAGAAAAAACTATTTCTTTGTTGCACTAAATAGGAACTATCGCAAAATTTGTCGCATTTTAATGCAATTTACCCAACAAAAATCAACCAAGCTTTATGCCAACAAAATGTCCCCGTGTTCTATGAACGAAAGCGACAACAACTAGTTGCAAATTAAATATCAAGAACGATTGACTTTTCGAAACCATTGGTTTCAAACAAATCATTGTTCTTTAAAAAAGTGCTACAAAAACCGCCACTGCGCTTTGTTTTCAAGAATTGCTAGGTGCACTGTGTCCAAATTTCTCATCTTATAAACTACGGTATGTTTTTGCCATTTTCACACAAACTGGCCGTTAGTTTTTTAACGATTAGATTATATGATCATCATGATGGAACACTGACAAGAAGCCGGTTCGTGGCTGGAGCAAAAACTGTCAACTAACAAGTCACCAAGTGTATATGCTATAAATCACATCTCTAATTCACATATGAATAAATGCAGTACTTCATTGAGAATAATAACTTCACTTCATTCAATTCCCAAAAATTGCAGGTTTTGAAGGATGGGTTTGCAAGCCCGCAATGGGTTACATTTTAAGCTTTCTCCTGCATCAAGAAAGATATCTGTGGGGGAGGCAGAATTTACATTTATGGAAGCCTTAAATGTTAATAAGGGATTGTTTGTTTACCTCTTAATAGTTTCATTAAGAGGCAGCATCTAAATCGTTAAGAGGTGAATCTTGTTTGACAAAAAAAAAGTATACCTCTTAATGGTTCTAAAACATTCTGAACAATTTTGTACCATGAGCCTCCCTTAACCATTCAGAGCCCCTAATTTCATTGTAAACAATTATCAAACAACTATTTTTCATTTTTCACTATATCAATTTTTTAAAAGGCATTAGTAAATTTAGGAGAATTTCAAGGCAAACCCAACAGCTAATCATCAAATTTCAGCTTCAAAATTTGATGGAAACCACCAAAAATTAAAATTTTATAACCCTGATTCCCACTCTTAACTGATCTTAAACCACTTACCAGAAGGTGAGACCTTAAGAGTGTGCGAAATGTGAGATTTCGTAAAAGATTAGCAGGATTAAGCATCAAGAAACAAATTTCAATAGACTTCTGAACAAAACCCTAATGCAATAACCCAAGAAAAGCTTACCCGAAATGAGAGAGATGAGCGTCGATGGCGGACAGTTGGCAGCAGGTGGCGGCGTTTTAGCGTCAGACAGACTTCGCATCCTCCTTCGTTTCGCAAGCCTTCAACATCAAAATTGGGGGTTTTCAGCTAAAAACTGATTCGAGATCGATATAGTCAGAAATGATGCAAAATACTCAATTAATGGGTTTAGACAAAAGATTGACAGAGGTGAGAACTGTTTGTGGTTCGAATTAAATTATTGTCCTTGAAAAGATAGGTGATGCGTGATGGGGAGGACGATCAGATAAGGGTTTTTTGAGAAGGGATTTTTGTCAATTGGGTAAAAGATTAGGGTTTAGGACGTTTAATTCGTAACTATTTTAAATGTGAGAATTACATTTTTCGTTTTCGTCTCAACAATTTGTAAACTACACTTTTGGGCCAACTTTTTGTGTTTTTCAGCCCGATATAGTCCCTCCAAATTAGTGAGGACCAAATTGGCCCGGCTCGGCTCGGCTTGGCTCGGCTCGACCCAGGACCACCGGAGGACCGGGATCGGCAAAGGACCGGTCCGGATCGGGACTGGTAAGGACCGGTTATGGGACCGATTGGGGTTTTTGGTAGTTTCCTGGGACCGGCTATGGACCGGCCCGGCCCGAAAATTCAAATAATTTTATAAATAAATGTATTTTTAAATAATTTTATAATGTATTTTTATAAGACAATGTAATTTTAATTATATTAAAACACATTTTTAAAGTGTATTTGAGTAATCCAATTGTAAATTTTATAATGTATTAAAAATATATATCATTAAAAAAATATAAAAAATCTTATTTTTTAATGCCGGGACCGGTTGATGCCGGGACCGGTTGGGACCGGGACCGGCACCCCATAACCGGTTATAAAGTACCTTGACCGGCTACCATTTTCGACCGGGATCGGTTACTCCGGGACCAGTTTATGGCCGGTTATGAGAAAGCTTGGGACCGATAAGGCCCGACCCGGGACCGGTTTTTGGCCATCACTACTCCTAATTAGTGATGGCCAAACCGGCCCGGCCCGGGATCGCCGAAGGACCGGAAGCGGGACCGGCAAAGGACCAGCCCGTCCTGGGATCGGTAAGGACCGGTTGGACTTTATGGTGGATTTGTGGGACCAGGACTGAGACCGGTCCGACCCGAAATTTCAAAAAACTAGCCTTTTTTGACCATGTTTGACCCTTGGTTTTTTTTGCCTTCTAAACACTATAAATATATATCTTGGTTTAGAGGTTTACATACCAAGTTCTCAATTCACAAAAAAAAGCGTTCACAATTCTCGGTTTTTCGCTATATTTTATGAATTCGACTCGTATTCATTTCTCGTTTCCACTTCACAATTCGCATTTCTTTCTCTATTTGGGTAAGAGATCTATGTAGTCGATACTATTTGTTCCTTTTATTTTGCAATAAAAACGATATCCATGGGCCCCTCGATGATTTAATGCTAACGTTGATTGTATGCATACTCGGACTGGATTGATGATTGGATCAATCTTGCAGTCTGTCTTTGAGTCACCACAAAAATCTTTATCGAGAAACATAATAGTGAACGATCTGCAGATTGACTGTATTCCATGCCTCACATTCACACGGATATCTATAACAAAGGGATATTTGATCACTTACCTATAAGAATGCTTAATGAAGAAATTGAGTAGTTGATGTTGTACCTCATGCTAATGTATACTATTTAGTTGTTATGACATGTGCAAGTGGGAGTCTGTTGGAGATATGCCACATAGAGATGGCCAAATGGGCCCGACCCGGCCCGTAACCGACGGAGGACCGGGACCGGGACCGGAGAGGGACCGGGACCGACCGGGACCGGTAGGGACCGGTTGAGAGACCGCCGGTTATGATCCGGTCAACGAAAGTCAACGAAACGTATATATATAATAAACCGTATTTTTATTGTGTATTTTTAAACATATTTACAACAAAACGTATTTATAAACGTATATATATATATATATATATTACAAAACGTATATATATATATAACAAAACGTATTTATAAACGTTATATATATATATATATA